TCGGTATCGGCCGATTTTAGTCATTTTTTTACTTATCAGCATCAGTTCGATAAATAAAACTGGGCCAATATTAACAACCAATATTTTTTCCATCTCGTCTCCATTTGTTTGCCCGTTTCAGAGGGTGAGGGGGTGATGTGTAATTGTTTAGTCATGTGAACAGTGAATGAATTCATCTCTGAGCCATATTTGTTTGTGTTGTGTGTACATAAAATAACACAAATTCAGCTTTCATAATTTTCATTCTATACAAAATCTGCAGATTTTAGAGGCATTAATGTCAGTATATCGGTATCGGCAAATATTGGTTATCGGCCATAACAGTGATCTTAATATCGGATATCGGCCCAAAAATTTCACATCGGTGCATTACTAATTAACACATACATTCTGACATGTTCTATAAGTTTGTTCTCATTTGGGATCTGATTTACTAAATCTTTTTGTAGCCTGCGTTTCTATTAAACAGGAACAAATACTATGTGTATTGGTCTTAAAACCCTCAAGATGGATTATGTGGACATGAAGAGGGTGCTGCCAACCATTTTAGCAAACAAACAGCCTATTTTTATGCAATGTTGAACATGTTTGTGTCTGCTAATAGTTGATGTTAACGGTAACTCAGGAATAGACAGAGTGCAAACATGACACCAAAAGTGTAATTGAAGGTTTTATCGGGTGACGTGAGTTAAGATATTGTAGCAAATCTTATTTTTATTTTTCTCTCTTTTTTATGACTGTTGTATATGAAATGGAAAGCCATATTTAGATGTGCATTTTGTTGTAAAAAAAATTAAACTGCTCACACGCGATGATCAAATTTGTGTCAGATGTCTGAAAGCAGTGAAGAAATTTCCATTTCTAAAGCAGGGGGGTCAAGAATCTGGTCACTAGACTTCATTAAAAAGATAACATAACATTCTATGTCATTTCAGTGAAGATAAGTAGAGGCTATGAATGGATCATATAGAGAACAGGGTCCTTAGTTTCCTGTCTCAGAGCGTTTTGACAACAACTGAGATCCAAATGGTCTTCTTCTGCTACTTTTTCCTAACAAGAGCCACCAAAACGCCCTAAATCCTAGCAGAGAAAGGTGAGAATTGCTGTGTGATGATTAAGTTCGGTCCAGCTCTGCAAAGTTGTCACACCAGTTTATCGCTTCACTTTCTGCTGTTGGTCATTCCTCTGGAGGCCATGGCTTCACAGCTTTTGCCAAAGGCCTGTCTGTCCTGGTCACATGGAGTTTTTCTCCACTTCGCCTTTCCTACTCTTCCTCTGTCCCTCCCTATAGCTGGAACAAATGTTATTTTCCACATCTGGGTTGCAGCCAGAATATCCTCTCTCCGTGTCTGTTTAAATTTGAGCACAAGTGTCTATGCATCTGTCTATCTGTGTGTACAAATCACTGCGAGTGAAAAATGTGTGTCTTTGTGGGTTTGGTGGAATGTGAGCATGAGTAAGGGGTCTGATGGGGGCCAGGCATGACTGATGAGCTGACTCTGAACGACTAAAGCAGCGGAGCTGAACTCACGATGTGTGCGTTCCCACAGTGGTTGTCCTCACCATGTCCAACACGTAACAATTTATTCAGAAACACTACACACACTGTTGCAATCTCATACAGCCCATTTGATTTCACACACACACCGTGTATGAAACACTTCAATTCAGTCCAAACACACATCCTGAGTGGTCTGCAACAAAACCCAGTAGATTGAACCACGGTAGCCAGATTTTCTGATTTAATCCTGACAAACCCTGTGACCTGCAGGCTATGGTGCACACCTGTGGCTTTACTCGATATTTTTACACTGGATAAAATACTATTCTCTTACTACTTAACAAAGGTGAACGCTGCAGTTTTATTACAGAGGTAATTTTCATAATCAGGACCCTTCATCCGCTGCATGGTGGGGCAGCTGGTGGCACTGTTGCCTTGCAGCAAGAAGGTTGCAGGTTTGAATCCTGGCTTTCTGTACAAATGTAGGGTATTCTCGTATGAATGCGTGGGTTTTCTCTGGGTGCTCTGGTTTTCTCCCGCAGACAAAAAACATGCATGATCCAGTATACTGGAGACTGAGTGAGTGAGTGAGTGAGTGAGTGAGTGAGTGAGTGAGTGAGTGAGTGAGTGAGTGAGTGAGTGAGTGAGTGAGTTTAAAAGGAATGAGCAGGGTTTTAATGTAAACACTGTAAAAACTGATTAGTTCAGCTTACTTTAAAAGAACATTCAAACCAATTGCACTTAAAATAATAAGTACATAGAACTAGGCGATTATGTGTTGGAGCTACTAATACTTACTAAGCACTAAAACACAAGTTACTTGCACTAATACAAATACCACAAAGTTTGATTTGGTAACTGAACTAGTTTTTGAGTTATAAATACATAAGTTGTAGTAAACTGTAAGCATTTTTAAGTGCTTTTTACTAGTTTGTCACAGTTATAGGTACTTAAATTTATTATCCCATTAGTACTAATCAGGTACTGATGGATGACTAATGGGACTATTTGGTGGTTTAACCCCCCAATCCAACCCCTTAAGGCTGAGTGTCAAGCAGGAAGGCATTGGGTCCCATTTTTAAAGTCTTTGGTATAACCCGACTGGGATTTGAACTCTGATCACCCAGTCCCAGGGCAGACACTCATACCACTAGGCCACTGAGAAGGTGTGCATTACTTTATTGCCTTTTACTTTCTATGCATTCGTAACTCTAACACATAATTACTTAGGCCTGTGTACTAGAGTGAGTCTAAGTCAGTTCAGTCTTAACATCCATCTTATGTTGAACAAATGCTTGTTTTTGATCTGATAACACTGAAATACTTCCAACAGTGGAGTTTATTTTTATTTTTATTTGATTTATTATTCAAAAAAATCTAAGAGCTGTTGGGTAACTTGGTTAAAAAGAAAAACATAAGTCTGTTGTTATTTTTTTCTCACACTTCAGGTGCTGAGTGATCTCCATCCATCCATCCATTTTCATCCGCTTATCCAGAGTCGGGTCATGGGGCAGTAGCCTAAGGCGAGAGGCCCAGACTTCCCTTTCCCCAGCCACTTGGGCAAGCTCCTCTGGGGGAATCCCAAGGCGTTCCCTGGCCAGGTGAGACACATAGTCCCTCCACCGTGTCCTGGGTCTACCTTTAGGTCTCCTCCCGATTGGACGTGCCCGGAAAACCTCACCAGGGAGGTGTCCAGAAGGCATCCTGACCAGATGTCCGAGCCACCTCAACTGGCTCCTCTCGATGTGGAGGAGCAGCAGGTCTACTCCGAGCCCCTCCCGAATGACCGAGCTTCTTACTCTATCTCTAAGGGAGAGCCCAGCCACTCTTCGGAGAAAACTCATTTCGGCCACTTGTATCCGCGATCTCGTTCTTTCGGTCACTACCCAAAGCTCATGACCATGGGTGAGGGTAGGAACGTAGATCAACCGGTAAATTGAGAGCTTCGCCTTCTGACTCAGCTCTTTCTTCACCACGACAGACAACAACGCCAGTACAACGCCCGCATCACTGCAGATGCAGCACCAATCCGCCTATCGATCTCATGCTCCAGTTTTCCCTCACTCGTGCACAAGACCCCGAGATACTTAAACTCTTCCACTTGGAGCAGGGCCTCATCCCTGACCCGGAGAAGGCATTCTATCCTTTTCCAAATCAAGACCATGGTCTCAGATTTAGAGGAGCTGATTCTCATCTCAGCTGCTTCACACTCGTCTGCGAACCGCTCCAGCGAAAGCTGAAGATAACATTATGATGAAGCCAACAGGACCACATCATCTGCAAAAAGCCGAGACCTGATCCTCAGGCCACCAAAACGGATGCCCTCCACACCTTGGCTGCGCCTAGAAATCCTGTCCATAAAGGTTATGAACAGAATCGGTGACAAAGGGCAGCCTTGGCGGAGACCAACTCTCACTGGGAACGAGCCCGGCTTACTGCCGGCAATGTGGGCCATGCTCTGACACCGGTCATACAGGGACCTAACAGCCCATATCAGAGGACCTGCTACCCTCTCATTCACTGGGGTAAACCAGAGCCATGCATTGAGGTGAGTCCGACTATATCTAGTCGGAACCTCTCAACCTCACACACCAACTCAGGCTCCTCCCCCACCAGAGAGGTGACATTCCATGGGCCAAGAGCCAGCTTCTGTAGCCAAGGATCAGACCGCTTAGGTCCCCGCCCTCGACTACCACTCCTCACACACTACACCTGACCCCTTTGACCCCTTCCACGAGTGGTGAGCCCATGGGAAGGGGGACCCACATTTCCTCTTCGGGCTGTGCCCGGCCAGGCTCCATGGGTGAAAGCCCGGCCACCAGGCGCTCGCCAACGTGCCCCACCTCCAGGCCTGGCTCCAGAGGGGGGGCCCCAGTGACCCACGTCCGGGTGAGGAAACATGGTTTCCATTTATATAATTCATCATAAGAGGTCTTCGGGCTGCTCTTTGTCTGATCCCTCACCTAGGACCTGTTTGCTGAGTGATTTTTGACTGGATAATGACGCTACCGTAGGTCATTCATCCCCTCTGCAGTAAGAGTATATAACTCCACAGTTTAACTGGTACTGGCATTATCCTGTTACACAATGACATCAATGCAACACTCAGTATGTGTTCAATACTTGTGCAATACCGGATTTACATAGTATATCTGTGTCTCTTACAGTATGCTGCATAGTTCTGGAACCCACGTTTTTCATATTTATTCATGGTTTTTAGTGGTCAAAGGTTATTTACTGCCTATGTGTACATGTACCTTTGTTATTATTTTTCTTCTAATTATTCTCTAAGTGTTTGTGCTGCTGTAACAAGTGAATTTCCCCATTGTAGGATCAATAAAGTCTATTCTATTGTATTCTATTCTATTCTGATTTAATGACTGTAAAATACTGACTAAAATCCTAACAAGTCAAATTCCATGTGCATTAATTTTCTTCTGCATACTAGCTTTATATCAAGGATTGTTTGAGTTTCAATAACTTCATATGTTTGACCCACTTCCCACTCCGGCTCCACAGCTGGGAGAGAGCTGGCCATTGGAACAGGTACACATGTTGGGTCTGGAACAGAAGCCATCACCGCATGAATTCCTGCAGATTGCTGCAGAAGAATGAGAACAGAGAGAAGAGGTTAAAATATCTTTGTCTTTTTATGTCTTAATTGTCCAGATCAATCTTTTTTTCTGTTCAGCTTTGTGGTTTTGGCTTAAAGATGGAGAAACTTACGAACAATACATTGGTTCCCTCCAGACAGAGTCTTCCATCCTGGGCAGCAGTATGAATGGTAGCGAGAGCCACACACATTGGGTCTGTTAGGCACAAAAGCAAAGAGCAAACACGCTTACTAGTCACTAAAACCTCCCAAACATATACCTGTAAAAAATCCCAGAACAAAAACATCGTGGGTTCTTTTCTGAGCTTCCCCGGCTCAGCAAAACCAATTCTGTCAGGATGAACAACATAAACTTTTACACAAAGCCTCATCAGAGAATGGATGAAGGCATCAGGGTAAAACAAAGGAGAAGAAATATGAGAAGCCATCAACATAAACAGTAAGTGCGTGTTTTCTTTTTGCTCTTAGATTTAACAACTGACAAATACCCCACACTGTTCAATGAGCCAGGAACAAACTGACCCAGTCTGACAGATGTGAGAGTCATCACAGCGCGCGGAGCCCTCAGCTGGCCTGACAGGTTAGCCACAAAGCTTTCCTCTGAGGAAATGGCAAAACCACATCTAAAAATGACTGACTCTGCTCACACACACACTCACAAACACACATAAACATGGAGAAAACGGAGTCATGCAGCTGCTTTACAAGCTAATGTTATGACACTGCTGTTTTAGTCATCTGATAATAATTACAAACCTGACTCAGTTTATTTAGAGATGTAGTAAAAGAGTCCAGATTCATGAAGTTTATTGATGGGAGAGTAAGACTGTGTCCTTCTAGTGAAAACACTCTAACATACATGCCATGTGAAGCTCTTTCACTTAAAGACTCTAACAGTGTGGCTGCACTAAGTGACCTTTTTAAAGCTTGTAAAAACATGTAATTGTGGTCATCTGATTTGGTGTTTCTCTTTCTGCTTGGACTGGGATGTGAGAGACCCCAGCTTGGTAAATTGGGATTAAGTCTGATCCAGATGCTAAACTGATTTGCCACCATCGTCCAGATGATTTGTACCTGAGGACAGAATTTATTGCATCCTGGGGACAGAAGCTGTTTTTAATAAAACTAAATTGTCCAGTGAATAGGTTAAAGAAAATAAATAGCAGCAGAGATTGTAGAGACTAGAATTCAGTGACACCGTAAAACAGAAACAGACATAACTTGATCATTGACTCATTCACAACCAATAACGACTAAAGTCGTCACTTGCATGTTTTTACTGTGTGGGCATCGGAACGAGCCCCGCACCGTGAGAAAAAACATCTCAGCTCTAAAGCCGTTCTTCATCCGCATACGCCACACGTCACACGATCAGGAAGCAGAAAATTCATGTCATTTTGGGCTGCTGCTGTAAAAAAAGTGAGGCGCGAACTGGAAAAGCTTCTGCCGATCACAATTCAACAACGGATTATGAAAGAACGGATAACGCTTGAAACGCGCGGATTCTTCCTGATGTCTGGTGTCATACAGGAACAGTTAAGTGATATTTAGTTTGGTATCTTTTATTGTCACAGTCAACTTGTAACAGAAGATCTTCCTCTCCTCTTCACCTGTTAGTAACCATAGCAACCCTGCATTGTCAAAGACAACAGATGAAACATTTGATGACTTTAGAAACGTTCACACTTCAAACCAAAATAGCAACAGCAGGAAGGACTTGATAAATGGTAAATGACCTGCACTTGCATAGTGCCTTTCTGAGTCAGAGGACTCCAAAGCGCTTTATACTTCAGTGTATTGTAGAGGGTAAATGTTGTTGGTCTGACAGTATCATTCACACATGCACACACACACACACACACACACACATTCATACACTGGTGGAGATGAACTATAATTTGGCCAGCTGCTCTGGAGCACACTGACGGAGGTGAGAGTGTTGAGCACAGGCACCACCGGTCCCTCCAACCACCAGCAGGATGGTGAAGTGTCTTGCCCAAGGACATAACAATTGACATGACTGTGGGAGCCTGAGTTTGAACCTGCAACCCGAATACTTGGCAAACGTCAAACCCCTGATTTACTGTTGCCTGCAGACATGCATCTGAGATCAAGAGACATTTATGCTGAATAATTAGGTTAAGAATGTGTATGTCAAATAGGTGAAAGAAAGGTAGTTAGCAGGAGGAAATATGGTGGAAAACCAAAACAAGGTAGAGAGAGCAAGTGTTTGTTTTTTCTCCTGTTTTTTCTCCCGTGTCCTGTCTGGCTGTGAAGCAAACAGAATTGATGTCTGAATGCTGATAGCATTCGTCACAGATTTACTCTCAGGTGAAGCATAAAAGCTTTAATGTCACGCCTGATACTTAAAACTTGATTGTTATTGTTTTTGGATGCTTTTTAATTCTGACCAGAAAGGGAGACAGAGGTGAAAGAGAAAGGAAAAGAAAGTGTTTTAATGGGGGCTGCATTCCATTCCTGTTGCTGTGGATGAACTAACCCACATCATGCCCAATTTCACTTCACATCAAGCAAGATATCTATGTCACATAACCAAAGTGACACTGATTCTGAATTATTCCCTTGTCTTAACTACAAATGTACAACTGTAGTTAGTTTTCTGACAGGCTCACATGCATACGTTGCACGTGGCCATCAGCTCCTGCATGTACTTTCTGCAAGTCTCAGCATCCTTAGTTTTTATTTATGCTTGTTTATCTAATTAACCTAATGAGTTAAAATGCCAATAATGAGGCTAAACCTGTGTATATATGTCGACGTACTAAACTCATAAAACAGACCAATGTTTCTGTTATTTTTGACATATTGCTGCAATCTCTACGCACAGTAAATGTCCTTCTACACTTATGGCATGTTTTTTATTACTGAAAATGGATGTCTTATCTCTTAGTCTCCATGAAGAAAGGAAAATGTTTAAAGAATTTCATCAAAATCATTGCAGTATCTGAACGATAAGCATTTGCCATTCAGAAAATTTTTCCCTTTGTAGCCCATTCTCAGCCTGCGTAGACATCGAACATTTGTACACGCATAAAAACAAAATGTAATGTGCAAAAACAGAAAATGCATTTGCTAACTGCTTGCACGTGCAAAACAAAAATCATACAACTTCTTTAGTGAATTTTTTCCCTTTTTTAAGTGCATTATGTGGTTTTAATGCGTTTATTTTTGCATGACATACAGATATAATTTTTTTTATCCTGTTAATTTTGAAACGTGCCAAAACATGGTGTAAAAGGCTTCACTCAGGCCATCGGGAAGGGGAATGACATTATCCTGGAAGCAGCTGGAGTGACTAAATGTAATTTTCTGCTTTCAGGGTGACTGAGTATCTGACAAGTTAGCTAGAATCTAAGGAAATTGTATACAAAGCTATGTCAAAAAAGTGGAAACACAAATAAAAGAAGAGCTCACACTAGTCAGAAAGTGTAACTCTAGCATTGGAGTGATGTTATCACCATAAACACACACCTTTAGCAACAAATCAGCAGCAAAGGAGATGTAAAAATAAATAAAAGTCCCACAATTTCCCAATTTCATTGTAAATCCAGACAGTTAGTCAGCAGCCCAGAAAGTCATTAAGCCAGCCTGAGGTCTGATCAGATCCCACTCTTGAGTGGACTCGTGCCAGCGTGCCCCGAGAGCCAATAAATCAGCGTCGGTAAGGATCAGACCCTTTGCTACCAAAGGAACACCAGGGGATATGGAGCACCAGCCTGAAAATAAACACTACACTCAAGCACAAGGCCAGAATAATGACCATCATTAAACACACGTCTACACATCCAGCACAGAAAGCCTCTGGGACCCACACTGTGCTGCTGCTCACGGTCCACTGGTGTAACGAGCCTGCACGCTCCATAGCTACATTACAAATATAATTTAACAGAAAGAAGACCTCCTCGTGGCAAATGGGACACCTTCTCTTGCAAGAGAAAAAAATAGACCCACGTAGATAAGCAACTTTGATCTAGTTCATATAAACACTAAATAAATTTTAGGAAATCAAATGGAAACTGAAACTGAAAATACCTCTCACACAGTAGGTCTGTGTGCTTAGAAAAAATAAAGGTTTTCTCCAGTTATTTATAATTTAAGTGTGCAAATAACACTTTAAATTACTACTGTGAAACATCAACTCTTGGCAGGAATAATAAAGATCTCCCAGACAGTTTTTTACCAATTTTGTCTTCATTTCATCCCTCATTTCCTTTGCAGTTCTGTTACCTCTTCAGCCACTTTGTCACCTACAGCAGTCAAGCAAATGCCCTTTTTCATTCCCCCTGTGGTGATACAAATACCTCATTTCCTGTGTCTTGGCACTGGGGGGACCGTAAGCTGGGACAGATGGGACACTGATTGGAATAACTGATGCAGACACTAAAACCTGGCTCCAAGAAAACACTCCTTGTTTTTCAAGAACTGGTGAAATTTAGGAAAAGAGCTCTTTGCTCCATTGGAACACTTTCCTCATAATGTTTGGTTAATATGCTGAAAAGCTGCAGATGTGCGCTGGAACAGAGAGTTTCCACTGGTGAGGGGATTCCTGCATCTTACCCAATCCTCACAAATAAACAAAACCCACATGAGCATTAATGGTCTCATGTTACTGCTAGTTCATGTGCACTTAAACAGCAGGGTCCATGAGTTCTCCACAGCGGTGCTGAAATATTGGCTACTTTTCAACACACACCTGGGAATCTGGGTCAGGCTTTACCCATCATCCCTTCGTGGGATGCACAGAAAGCAGTGTTTTTCTCTTTCCTGTGAAAATGTCAATTTGCAGTGAATTTATCAGGATTTCAGTGTGTTAACAATGAACATGTGCTGTTTGGGGGAAAACAGTGCAGGAGTATTCACCAATATCATTCAGGGGAAGAGGAGCTTTGTCCTGAGCCCAGAAACAACAGCAGCTGAAAGATTTCCTTCAGGAAATCTGAGAGAAAAAGTATTTTGATTCTAAAACTTCTCAAACTTCTGCTGCTTTTTGACAAAACTTAATTTTTAGCACCTTTGTAAATCTTTGCAACATTATGAAAATAATTATTTCTTAAACTGAATGTTGGATTATGGATTCTCACCCTCTCAGCGTCTCCTGGCCTCTGCGCCGAACCCGCTGCACTTCTCTCTGGTCCACCGTCCCCGTGAAGGGGCTAGCTTGGTATGGTCCATTCCCATTCTGCTCACCAACAACGTGAACCACCCCGAGGCACACCGCCGCCCATCCAAGCAGCGCCTGAGCCAGCTTCCCTGATCCCATTGGTCGTCCTCACTATCCCTCCAGTTGAATCCCCTCTCACTCCGGCTCAGACTCCGAGTTCACCGTGCAGGCCCCAACTAAGCACCAGGATCAAGATCTGGATCCAAAACAACTTTTGGTGTGCACTCCAGGGTCGGGGCTAGAAAAAGAAAGAACAAAATTAGAGTTGAGATGCACAAGAAGAAAATGATACAAGTCAAATAAATAAATCTAAATCATTATGAAACACTATTTTAGCTCTTTTTATGACACTTTTTTTTTGTTTTGTTGTTTAAAGGGAACTTCAAAATCCACTCAGTCTCACATTTCTTTTTCTTATGTATGACTAACAGAAGAACAAACCTAGAAGGCTATCTTAACTTTTGTGTGCTTGCTTGTCTGTTGTTTGTTTGGTTGGTTACTTGTTCCTCTAGTTAGTTTAATGTGTTGTCATTAAGGTAAATCCTTTTCTAAAAAAGGTCAAAGACTCCTAAAAATCCTCACAAAGTGGTTGAAGATGCTGGTTAATAATTAACTGGAAATTTATATTGATATTTCACCCAAAAAAGGTTGTGAAAACTTAGAATTTGCAATGATTTATCATTGTGGTGTGGTCAGATTTGCTCAAGCTTGTCTTCATTATTGAGCTCGCTGTGCCCTGGAAGAGTGCAATTGAGGAGGCCTATGAACAAAATAAGCCGGGGTACGCTGAGCTGGCAGCCGAGGTGCAACATCAAGGCTGAAAAGTGAAGGTATGCCCAGTGGAAGTAGGCTGCAGAGGGTTTGTAGCTACCTCGACATACAGGCTACTCAGGGAGATGTGTGTGAGGGAAGGGCCACCAGCAGGCAGTCAAAGACCTCTTCAGGACCCCTGAAAACATGAGCCAGTGGCGGCAGATAAAGAGAAGGGACTCCAACTGGGCCCTCAGCTGAGTTGATGGCATCTAGGGGTGAACCTGGGATGCTGGGATTAACTGCTGAACCCTCTGGAGGCGATGTGCACTTATCAGAGAAACACCTATGAAGGAGGGCGCCCACTTGACAACCCAAAGGATGCCATTACTCAACTGACCACCCCGCAGAGTTTCATCGGTGCCTCAGTAGTAAGGGAGACTAACATCTAATCCTACACAATAGATCAGCTCAATATTCAGACACAACTGATCAGTACACATAAACCATCTTTAGACTTTTAACATCAGCAATGGTTTCTTCCCAGCTCTATATGATTCATCTCCAAATCATTGAAAGTCTTCACTTTTAGCCTGTGGGAGTTGATTGGAGGGGCTCCTCTGTGTAATTTATGTTGATGCATTCCTTTTGAATAACTCAGTTGGTGCCAAGTTGGTTTATCATAATTTTAGCCCTTGGGTGAAAGAATAAATGAATTATTAAGTTTTAATTTAAGTTTAAATATTTGAATCTAGTGCAATTTACATGAACTATTATCAGATGATACCTGTCACGTTGAGGGTGTGGATGGCGGCGGACCATGAGCGGAGGAGCTGACAGGAGGCAAAAATGCAGGCACGGATGAAATAAAAATGGTTTTAATGGTGGAGGGAGAAGGACAGAAGAAAACAACGCTGACAACAAACAATGATCCGACAAAGACTCAAACGAAACAATCAGGGACGCATGGGCGGATTAACAAGGGGCAGGTGAGAACAATAAAGACTAATTAAGGGCAGGGGAGAGACACAGTCAGGGAGGCAGGAGGAGATTGTGACAATGCCCAGTTAAAGATGCAACAGAAAATTTGGAAAACAAATTTGCTTCATTTTTTCACATGTCTTAACAACGTTGTAACATAACATAGCTATAAATATATTGTGGAGATTTTTCAAAAATGAAAAAAAAATGAATAAGGTGGTTCTCTCGCATTTGTCTAAAAACCTTTGCCAATAACTAGTTTCAGACTGAAAGTATGGCAAGCCAAATGAGCATTTATTCTGATATCAGGATATCAGCCAGAATTGTCATGAACATGTAAGCCATTTCTGTCCACTAGTTAACTAGTTAGACATGTTTGTGTCAACTAGTTAAATATCGAGGGTGAAAATGTGCCCACTAGTTAACTAGTGACAGCAGAAATGCGCACTAGTTAACTAGTGAACACATTTAGGCTTCAGTAGTTAACTAGTTGACACAAAAACTGCTCACTAGTTAACTAGTAAAAGCAGAAATGCATAGCAGTCAGCTACTTGAAGGTATTTGTCTCACTAAGTTAACTAGTGAGGGTCAAAATGTGCACACTAGTTAACTTGTGGTAGACATAAATGCGCACTAGTTAACTAGTGAACATATTTTGGCTTCACTAGTTAACTAGTTGACACATAAATGGCTCACTAGTTAACTAGTAAAGACCAAAATGCATACCAGTCAGCTAGTTGAAGGTTTTTGTGTCTCACTAGTTAACTAGTGATGGCCAAAATGTGCACACTAGTTAACTTGTGGTAGACATAAATGTGCACTAGTTAACTAGTGAACACATTTTGGCTTCACTAGTTAACTAGTTGTCACATAAATGGCTCACTAGTTAACTAGTAAAGGCCAAAGTGCATACCAGTCAGCTAGTTGAAGGTTTTTTGTGTCTCACTAGTTAACTATTGATGGCCAAAATGTGCACACTAGTTAACTAGTGAAGGCTTAACTCCTAACTAGTTAACTAGTTGGAGTAGGTCAGTGCCACTAGTTAACTAGTGAACCATTAATGGCTCACTAGCTAGCTAGTTGATGGCAGCAGGCTCACTAGTTACCTAGTTGATGCATCCATTGTCCAAACTAGTTAACTAGTGAGGACATAAATGTATACTAGTAAACTAGTTCAAGTCTACATTCACACTAGCTAGCTAGTTGCGCAGAATTCTAATTAGGAGGCGGAGAATTTCTCAAATTAAGACTCTCTATTGGCTCCCTGTGTCAAAATAAAATATGACAACCAATCACAGTGCGGAATTTCGTAAAATCCCACCCCAAACATTTGCATGCGGCACACAAGTTAACATGCTGGCCAGAGGAACCTCAGCTAGTGAACTAGTAGTGGCTTCAGTGTGACACTTACATGTAAACTTGTGAAGGCAGAACTGCTCACTAGTTAACTAGAGAGGGTACAAATGTCCACTAGTTAACTAGTGAGGTGCAAAATAAGTGTCACTAGTTCACTAGTGGGCCCCAAATCGCCCACAAGTTAACTAGTAAGGTGCGGATATGCTCACTAGTTAACTAGTGAGGTGCAGATTTGCTCACTAGTTAACTAGTGTGCCCTAAAGCGCCCACTAGTTAACTAGTAAGGTGCAAAAAAGCATCACTAGTTAACTTGTAAAGTGCAGATATGCTCACTAGTTAACTAGTGGGCCCCAAAATGTCAACATGTTAACTAGTAGGGTGCGGATTTGCTCACTAGTTAACTAGTGAGGCACAGATATGCTCACTAGTTAACTAGTGATGTGCGGATTTGCTCACTAGTTAACTAGTGAGGTGCAGATTTGCTCACTAGTTAACTAGTGTGCCCTAAAGCACCCACTAGTTAACTAGTAAGGTGCAAAAAAGCATCACTAGTTAACTTGTAAAGTGCAGATATGCTCACTAGTTAACTAGTGGGCCCCAAAACGCCAACTAGTTAACTAGTAGGGTGCGGATTTGCTCACTAGTTAACTAGTGAGGCACAGATATGCTCACTAGTTAACTAGTGAAGTGCGGATTTGCTTACTAGCTAACTAGTGAGGCGCGGATTTGCTCACTAGTTAACTAGTGAAGTGCGGATTTGCTCACTAGTTAACTAGTGAGGTGCGGATTTGCTCACTAGTTAACTAGTGAGGTGCGGATTTGCTCACTAGTTAACTAGTGAGGTGCGGATTTGCTCACTAGTTAACTAGTGAGGTGCAGATATGCTCACTAGTTAACTAGTGAGGTGCAGATATGCTCACTAGTTAACTAGTGCGCACAAGACGCACACTAGTTGCTGTTTTTGGAGCAATCTAGTTTACTTGTTATGTAAAAATGTGTTCTTACTAGTTAACTAGTGACAAATTTACCTTCACTAGTTAACTAGTTGACATATTTGGCCTTTCTAGTTCACTTGTAATGGGACAGGAAGCACTCACTAGTTAACTAGTGAGCATATCTGCATTATAATTTTTTCTCACTAGCTTATAGAGGGCAAACTGAGCCTTACATGTTAAGTAGTGAACACAAAACACTGTCACTAGTTAACTAGCTGCAGAAAAATGCCCCTAAAACTAGTAAATTTGTGGAATTTGAATAAATACACACTTGGCTGGCATTCTGTGTAACATGTTAACTAGTTCGACCGCTGTACTGCTCACTAGTTAGCTAGTGAGCAAATCCGGCCTTTACATGCAAATGAAGAAATGCAGAACAGCTATGTGATTGGTCCATGTAGGACTGAGAAACAGAGAAAGTATGGCGGACTCTGTTCAGGCTGTTCTAAGAGAAAATTTGATAAACTAAGATCGTTTGAGCACATAAATATGTTTTGACGATATTTGTAGCGAGAAAGTTGTGGTGTATTGCTGTAATCTTTGTTCAGTTAACGTGTGCAGTCTTTAGTTTTCAGTTATTAGTCTGAAAAAGCCTGGAGGCGGAAGGCAGCGGCAGACAGCATGTCTGTTTCTGTTGACAGGAAAGTGCAGAAACTCCGCAGAAATCTCCGTCAGATATATTGTTTCACATTTGTACGGAAGCGACAAGTTTATAATAATAAAAAAGGCTCTATTTTACATACGTTGCTGTAAAGCCTCCAGCACTCATAGTGTTTCAAAGGTATGAATTTGCGAGGAGATGTAGCACCTAGTGCCGGTGGTCTAGTGACTAACGCGTTCGCCTGCAATGGTGAAGGTCGCGGGTTCGATACTGGATCATACACTTTAGTTGTGTACATTATTTCACTTCTTTTCTTTTGCATAATTTTTGTATTTATGTCAACAAGAAACAAAATACGTAACGGATTAGTGGGCAGAGTTACACACACACACACACACACACACACACACACACACACACACACACACACACACACAAAACATGTTAACAAGTATTTTATGAGTATGAATCTGATTATTGCCGACAGTCGATATTTAAGCATGTGTGTCCCCCTTCCTCAATCCATCCTCGCAAAATAAAATCATCGGCACAGCA